ATTTTTAGAATTATCAACAATTTTAAAGTTGTTTAAGTGCCGCTAAGCCTAATATTTTTTTAATGGCGGCCATTGCTTGTTTACATTTGGAACAGCAGACTAGTGGATTTGTTGCCAATCTAGAAAAACTTAACTTCGCAACAAAGAATATAACGCCTTCATTTATTATTGTGAATTAAATCGTGCTTAATCCTTTCTGGAATTTTTTCGAGCAAACCAGTGTTTAAGATTTACTTCCTAATTTTTAATACAGATATTTTGAGTTTTTATGTATTTTTGCCTTATCGAGAAGTGAGAACTGAATTAATTGAATGAGAAATACTCAATCGTCTGTGAAAAACTGTTTTCTTTTTTGTTTTGTTTGCTTAATTTCTTTTATACATCGTTCTAGCTTTATTATAGTATTTGGATAGAACATGTGGCAACGATTAGATAATTCTTTAAACGATATAAACTTTTTTCATTCTGAGTTATAATATGAACGAAATATAATACTGTTCAGTGAACCTAGCGCCAGAGTGTCGCTATGGTAAACAAATAGAGTGAATTTTAAAGAATGCATTTATTGTATTGTGGTTTATGCGCTGTCGGCGAAGTAGATTTAATTAAATCCAATAAGTTTAAATGAAATGCTAAAAAACATTGCGTATAATTTAATATTCTGCACAAGGAAGTCATGTGGTGTACACATCAGATTTTTTTATGTTTAACTTAACTAATGATATCGCATGCAAAGGCAAATAGAATCAATAACCATTAGTTAATAACTACAACTTCTGTCTAACAAAACTATAAAGATAGAAACTATCTATTTTACTATAATAATCTATGTAGAGAGCATTAATGTTTTGTTGTGAATCTGCATATCGAACTGATCTATGCAATAAAACGAGAGAAACAGCAATCCTCATTAAATCCCACGCTAAGCTGTTCACTATCAAAACATGAACATTTATCATTCAGCAAATCCTTGAGCCCATCTGCGGCTGCTGAAACAGTGGTAATTCATTCCGGGGTCATATATTAATCAACTGCTGGATGCATGGGCATTTTCTTAACTTTCTTTATGTGCAAGGTGAATGCGAACAAGTTCCCGTTAGAAGGTCCTCATAAAAAAGATCTCTTCCCTTAACCAGATAGCTGTAATGTGCTCTGCCTTCGAATCCAAATCCAAAAACACCAGCAGAACATTTATTCTCTAACATTATATTTCTGGTAAAACAGGTCACTAGCTCCATGCTACTAAGCCCTGATTCAGGGTGAGATTAATCGCTATCTATGCATGATGAACTTGGAAAATTATTATTTTAAAGTAAAGTAGGCGAGAGGATTATCTGCGTTAGTGTGATGCGTTTGTAGAAGTAATTTTGAAGGGAATACGTATTCGAATTAAAGATGGAGAACGTGAAACTTTCCTGGGATTTCAACTTGTGTTAAACTACCAAATTTCAGCCATCATAAATCGGATAAATTCTGTTTATTTCCCTTAACTATTTTATGTAAACTCTGAAGCGAATATGGTATATTTCAAAATCTCATCGGGAAAAAATGAAATTAAGAATGTTGAAATTAAGACAGTCATAAACAGCTTCAAATAAAATCTAAATAAGGTATAACCTAAAATAAGGTTGTTTTTAAAAGCATAAACAAAAGTCTCATTATATTAACGTGTGAGTGTGTGTGAATGTGGCAAAGCCTCGAGGGCTATCTGCCTAAGAGGAGGGATGCCTTCGTGGAGGACTTTCTAAGGGAAACTGGCTCGTATACACGTTACACATGGGGAAAACCACGAAAACGCCCATGCAGCCAGCCCGTTCGCGGGATTCGAACCTCGGACCGAACTACCAGTGTTCAGCGATTTTACCGCTCGGCCGCTGGTGGGCCTTATTATATTAACGAATCATGTTCTTAAATATCTCTTTGAGGAGGATGTTAGCTGCGTATTGACGGAAACCATCGAAGTCGTTGCCATCATTGAGTAATAATGTAAAACAGTAATCTTCCTATTTTCGTGCTTTTTATTAACTTGCATTTTTATTTTGTTAATGCTAAAAGAGGTTTATATTTAATTTATAAATTTATAAATGCCATTAAATAATTATTTGTTGCTTTTTTATACTCGTATATCTGCGACTATTGTACAATATATGCCAAAGAAGAGCGAGAATGATTGCTCCCTTTACACTGTTTTTAATTTATTCTCTGTTAAAAATTGACATTTTAAAGAAATTGTATCATAATTGCTGGTGCGCTTATTCTTCATAAACTGCGACAATTTTAATTAACAATAAATATATTTAAATTAATTAAAAATTTCATTTGGTTAACGTAAAGATCCTATGTTTAGATATCAAGAGATATTAATACATCGTTGAGGATAATTTTCTCAGACAAAAATTTTAAAACTTGATTTACATTTTGCAGTACGTCTCTATTTTAATTTAATAAATAATACTTAAAATAAATAGTGATTATGGTAGTTTTCATTTCTTTTAGTTATACCTAGTAAATGTAACTGTATATATATTTTTTAATGAAATTTAGCCTCAGAAATCTGCTATAAAATGTGAATTTATTCTTATCAACAGCCTTAAAATTGAAGTTGCAATATGTATAAAGTGAAACATATTACATTATTTTTTAAATAAAAATATCAGAACTATGCAATAGCACGGATAAAAAATAACACACAATTTGTTTTAAAATAAGATTACAATATTTCAGTTGATATTTTCATTAGAATTTCATTCATACATATCATTTTATTGATAAATTTTATCTTAAATTCCAGTTTTCCATTCTATTTCACCGACATAATAAATAACATTCCTTTTCATTGAAAATTCCACAAAAATAAAATTCTGCAACATATTTTAAAACCGAAACAAATATGTTGCAGAATATGATGTAAATAAATTACATTATATAATAGATTATAAATGTAAAATGTAGTATAAAACCAAACTAATTAGATATTTAGTATCTAGAACTTATTCACATGGATTTTTAGGAAAATATATGCATAGAAGAGTGAAATTAAATGTCCCCACTGTATGTTTTATAAATTTATTTTCATTGATAAATAAACAAAAATAGTTTACTATAGAAATTAAATTAGTGCAGCAAAAGTCTCGATTTAAAAATTAAACCCAACGAAATTTTTAAGCTAAAAATTATATTAAATTATACAATTAATATACTTAAAAAATCATTTCTATTGTTAAAAGCAAAACACTTGAAAATGGTTACATGTTGGTGGCATTTATCAAAGCCCTAACACTGTGTTACAAATTCAATATTCTACGAATTATCTACTGAATTTTAGGACTAAATTCGTACAAAATCTAAAACAAAAAACATTGTTACTTCTCCTTCTTTACATACAATCGTTCTTTGTCTGTAGAATATTTTATTGGCACGTTCACAGTTGTGTTAGATATTTCCCTACAATTGCTCGTTCAGAGTACTGTTTAATGTTCTGGCTACGACTTATCTAAATCTCTTTTGTAAAAAACAAATTATCCTTCTATCCATCTTGCTCTCATAAATAATTATGCGAGTATCCATTTACAATTATTAAAACCTAAAAACCACATGTCTGCGATGCTATATCGTCATGCGATGATAAGTGCTTTATTTTTTACCACGATATATTCGACGACGATGCTTTTAAACCACGAATTTTTTGAATCGCTTTATTTTCGACGACGATATTTTGCACCCCGGCGTTTTAAAACTGCGATGTTTTCTCTTTGCTTTATTTTCTCCCACGATGTTTTGTATCATGACGTTTTCGCCCTGCGTGTTTTCTCCGCGACGTTTTCGTCTGCGATATTTCTGCCGCGATTTTTTCGGCTGTAACCATAGAATAGTGCTTACGAATTGTAACACTTCTCTTTGCTGGAAACTGCTTGATAAGAATTAAATTATGGTGAGTGAAGTATCTGATGAGAAAGTAATTGGTACACATATTGCCATGGAACAGAAATCAGTTTTAGTCGATTGAGCTTTAGCACATTGATTTTTTTTCAGATGTCTCTCCATGACGTCTGTCTAAAGTATGAAGTTCATCGTGTGTAAAAGATTTCATATATTGAACAATTTCTTTTCATTTTTGAGAACCGTGAACTTGGTTCCTGAGTTCATCATTTGCGTCTTCATACCCACCACAAAATTGTCTGCATACCAACCAAAAGCCCTGGATCGTGTTAATGCTTGGGTTCTGGATGCTTTACATGACACTTTCATATCAAATACCTCTGTTACTGTTTCTTTAGCTTGTTTAGTGCCATTCTGTGCTCAAAACAAAGGACTGACTAGGTCGAACAATTAGTCCGCAAACAGCCAATACTTAGGAGAGAAAAGTTATAATGTCTTAATAATAAATGCTGTCAAATACTATTTAATAGTTTCAGTGGAATTGTTTAAAAATTAATCTTACAATTAGGTAGACGCACTGTGTAATTTATATCTGCAAATAGGGTTTGTCGCAGTATTGGATTTCATACAGAAATTATATCCAAATTTTACAGATTAATGCTCGGAAAAGTAACTATATATTGTCCAATAACACGTTGTAAAAATAGATATATTTCTAATAACCATCTAAACATTCCATACATCATTCTATTTTTTTGGGGTGGCAGGGGAGTTAGTCGTACTGCGCAGCATCTGCGAAATATTAGCCAGAGTCATATATGAAATATGTCTTTTTGAAGTAAATAATCTCGAACGAGCTCAAAAGTTAGAAAACAAAAATAATCCATTGCACCTGACTATTATTCTTAAAAGCACCAATATTATCTAAAACATACACATAAAAAATGAAAAACATTTGTTCAGTATGTTTGTAAGCTTAGCTTTTTTTCTGTTTCCATCATACATATATCAGAAAGCATATACAGTTCTTCAATATTTTTTTTTGTTTTCATTCTTGTAGAAAACAAAGAGCCTATTAAAAAAAAATATTGACTTAAGTTTTATTGACTTTTTTCTTTTAGGTCTCCCACTATGGCCGGAGGTCTCTTTTCCATTGACAAGAGGTTTTTCGAGAAACTTGGAACATACGACAGCGGATTCGATATATGGGGTGGAGAAAACTTAGAACTTTCCTTCAAAGTAAGTAATGATTCTTTGCCTCTGGTGTCTTATCCGTATTCCATAAGAGGTTTACTGTATTTGTGTAATAGAAAGTGGATATATTGATTGATTGCTTGATGCCCGATTCAGAAGATGAAAGATCTCTGTTTTATTTTGTATTTTGTGGTTTAGCTATTGAGGATCGGTTTCTTCCTACTTGCACATTATAAGACAAAAAATTTCGTAAGAAGAAAGTTTATTAGCAAAATCTTTGTTATAAATTTTAATGAAGAGCCGCTTATATATTTTAGAAAACAGTTTTTATATTTTTTATATAAAATACAAATCAGATTTACTGTTAATACACATACTTGACAATATGTGTGTGTGTAACGCCGAGATTTAAGTAGTTACTACCGATTTACTGTGCAATGCAATTTACATAAATTATTTGAATTAATAATGTGAAACAAATATCAACACGTATTTTATCTAATTATAAGGAATTATCTTATCCCTCTCATGCATGCTGTTGTCGTGTAAATGGAATATACCGGGAGTGGTATCACGTCCATTTACTGTGAAATGTCCGTGATACCACTCCCGGTGAGGATATCGCATTCCGTTTGTGGTTTTGCTCCTTAAAAACCTAATAGTCTTTACATAATAAAATAGCAAATACATCAACTCATCTGCCTTATTATATATGCAGTGTGGTTATAAAAAACTTTCCCAACATATGAACTATTTGCGGCTTATGCGCTCAACCAATCGAAATGGAATTTCTGATATTTTTATTTGAAGGTATGCGCTCGAGATTGTGGTGGTTTAAAGCAATAGACATATTACGATTACAGTGAAAAGAATTTCAAAATTTTCGAATGACAGCATTCACTTTTTTTCCCGCGCAAATTGGTGAGCCCATTGAAAAACCATGTATTGCATTAGAACGATATACGTATGACGAAGTAAGTACCGGAGTAAAGCATTTACAAAGAATAGCATTGTAAAGGACCAATGAAAACATAGACAGAACATGTATTGGCGCACTCTGAATAATTCACAGAGATAGACAGTAGAAGGATCAATTACAGATTATCATGGGCAAAAAAATTGCTTGTAGAAAACCTTTAATATGCATTATAGGAAGATTGTTTTTTGAATCGTGTGTTCGAATAACAGGAAAACAACCAGGCAAATTGATAAACCTTTTTTATCTGAACCAGGAAAATGTTGCCGAAGCAGTTCGATTTATTAGCAAAATCATAAGCTAAGATGAGGCCCGTGTTCTGTAAAAACATATTTGTTGAAAAATTATAAAGAAACTGGATGCTCATGGGACAGATCGGGATCTAGACAACCAAGAATTCCTGTTGAAGTTGTTGCGGAAGTTAATAATACGATTACTTGCAAGTCCATTCCATACTGCAAGAAGTGTTGCGGGCAGTTTTTATGTACCGAAAACCACAGTCATCAAGCTTTTGCAAGCGCTTTGCAAGATGGTGCAATCTAGAGACGAGCACCAACGCGTCGACTGTACGAAATTTACCTTATCAGATATGATGATATCAGATATGGCCACTGCGTATGGATGAAAAAGGCACACTTCATCTTAACTATGAACGTCAACTCCAAGAACTGCGCTCATTGAAGGAAATTCTCACGAAGTGGCACCAACACCCTTACACGAAGCTAAAGTCATTATGTGGTGTGGCAACGTGAGCACATTCGCTCTCGGTCCGTACGTCTTCCGTAGAGTTCACTTCCGCGGATATGAAAACGTCCTGGATAAAAGTGCTCCGTTCACAACAATGTTGTAGAATTACGTAATTGCAGCATGGCAATATTGTTAATAAATGTAGTCATTAGTCTCCAGACTAGCATTTTTTTCCGTATCACTTTTTCAAATTGTTGCCACTAAATGTTATCTCCATGAATTATTGAAAAGATAAATAATGAAGAATCTGCTTGTGTGTATGAATGTTCCTCGCACTGTAGAACAACGACGGCACCTAGAGCCACCAAATCTTTAATACACATAGTCCTCCACCCGAACCTGTGCGCCTTGAAACCCGAACTTTGAACTTTAAATTTGTTTTTTATTTATTTCATATTTTGTACAAATTGAATGCATTTTTGAGTGGCAAACTCAGTGATTTTTGAGCGAAAAGTGGCAATAAGGTATTTTCATACTATAGTAATAACAGGTCACATTTGCTCCCTACTTCCGGCATGCCTTTGTGGTGTAACTGTAAGCACACTCGGCGCGTATTCAGGAGGTCCAGGTTCGAGTCCCGGCGAGGACATTGCTCATTTTTTACGTCTTTTGCTTAAAATAACTTAAATCTCTACAATTGTTTGAAATAAAATATTTTTATCTCCAGCGCGCCAGACTCTTGAAATTCAGCAAAATGCATGATAATTATCCTATAAGTTTAATCAGCAAACTTGGCTAATCAGCAATTAGCTATTTGAAAGCAATGTGTTGCCACTGCCGGAAATAAAATATTTTTTTCCACGATCCAGCTTGTTCCAGTTCACTAAAGCCTATGATATTTAACTTTTAATTTAAACTGGAAGGTTATTGAGTAAGAAACTAAGCGATTTAAATGCAGTTTAAAATTCTTAAAACTGCTTTTTCTGCATTTTAATATGATTGATTTAAACAAAAATGCACTAAAATTATCAGCTATCTAATTAGAAATATGAAACACTTTTATTAAATAACGCTTGCTAGAATCATTACAATTATTGTGCACTTTTTTATAACTACTTAAGGCGGTTGGCAGTGCGAGCAACTAGTTTTAATAGAAATAACAGGGCAGATATAAAAGAAAATTTATTGCAGCTCCTTAAACTCTATCGGGCATTCTAAAGATAATCTGACTTTAAATAATTTATAATATTTCTGTTCAGTTATGTGATGTGAGTGCAAAGAACTTAACGTTTAATAAATGAAGTTAACGCTACAAAAAGTTTATAATAAAAACATAGAAAAGTGTCATATGTCCTCATACAAAATTTTCTAAGAAAATTTGACATTGATATGATGCACTGAGAAAAACAAATTAAAAATAGTAAAATATGTGCTAGCTCTTTCACTGTATCAAGAATTCCAAATGCTTTGCTGTTGAACTGTATGTGTCGTAAGCGCGTAATAAAGCCAAAAAAAGTGTGTTAGATTTAAAAAAACAACTTAACTATACGTCTGATGCGACGTTGAAATCTGAATCCTTTTAGCTTTCCTCCCCCGTCTTTATCTTAAAGGAATTTAGAAACGTCTCTAACAAATGTAAAATTTTACATTTATTTGTAACATTTGTAATATTTATTTGTAATATTTGACACACTTTTATTATTAATTCTTCAACTGTCGCGTGACTTTTCATGAATCTAATGATAAATGAACTTCATTGATTTACACTTAAATTATTCTAATAATCCTATTTTATTTGAAATATCATTACAGATAAGTTCGCGCTAAGAAAGAGCTTCAGACTGCATTGCAGCAAAATATAGAATTTCATTTCCCGCCTTTTGATTTTGATGAATTAATTATTTTTATTAAATTCTCCACAAATAATAACTCTAAATTTCTCAAAATAATTATGTCCTATAATATAATCCTATAATCGAAAGATTTACATAGACAATCTTTAAAAGTCTCAATTTAATTTTATTATTTCCATTTTATTGAAATCAAATTTTTTCAGAAATTTTGGTTTCCTTGTAGAGCGTATTGCGTCAATAACAGATTTGACGGTTAGGAAGAAAACTTTATAAATGATCTGTGTGTAATTGAATTCTATTGATTCATTTTACACAGTTCTTATTCAATCAAAATGCTTTTTTTTTCTTATTTTAATATATATAGTTCATTAACTTCCGATATTTATTATCAATATTTTCCATGCTGAAAATAAGTTTTAGTTTTCTACATTTCTCCTGTTTCCCTTCTGTATTTACTGATATTTGAGTGAGAAATATAATTTACACTTTCGCATTCTAGAGAATAAAGAATTCTAGAGATCTTAATAATTAAAATGTCAAATGATTAGGCAGAAACTGGAACGTTTCCTGGGGGGGGGAGGTTGATATATCAAGGTAAATATCTTTAAATAACCCAAGATGAACAAGAAAGGTAAGATAAATTATCCTTAACCCGCCGTGAATATCGCAGATTATCAATATCGCTCACAGAGCAAATTTCAAAGAATCATCGAATAACTGTACACTAGCATGACTGTAAATTGAATAACTGTATTGAATTAATTCTCAGAAGTTCATAGAGTCCTATTTATATAATTGCTAAAGAGGGATTATAAGCCTTTCTGGAAGTTTCTGGGGTAATAGCGTCTGGGCTAAAAACAAAATTCTAAAAGCATCTAAAATGTCTTGATTTCGGGAAGAATTTGATATATATCGCCAGATTAAGCATAAAAGTTAACTACAAGACACAGAAGGTGGACTTTTTTTCATCTCCTTCTAAGTAAGTTATCAAAAGAATTCAAAGATATATCCACCCAGAATTAAACGATTTACAAAATAATACATTATCAGGACTTGTGTTTCTCTTGATTTGCTTTGGAAACATAGTATACCCTGAATAAGAACAGGGAGCTTACTCAAGCTATGTTCAAGATTTGTGTATAACAGACCACACAAGCAGGAAGGGTATGCGAAACCCTTTATTTTCAGTACTTTACAGGTAATTCCAAAACTTCGGAATACAGAGACCAACTACTTGTGGTCTGAACGTAAGAATATAAAACTACTAACTAAAACTCTAACTAAAAGCTAACTTTGAATTAGTATACAAATGCCTAGCACTAAGACTGGCCTTTATTTAAAAGGGTACGTATATAGTACGCCGAGCTGCTGAAACTACAATACGTTTGCAAATATCAAGAGGGCAAAACCTCTGGCCTTAAAGGCAAGCAGCAACCGAGTGAAAACTCGTAAAACTGCCGTGGCAAGCGGCTTGCTTCCTAAAATTCATTCTCTCTCCCTAACTTATGGCAAAAAGCCACAACTTAAAT